GCAAATATCTGTCTGGAGATGGGGAAACACCTCTTATCAACAGGGTGCCTGAATGAAACGTAATTGTACACCTAACCCTTAACTGTACCCCACAAATCCATAATAAAAAATATTGATAAAAAAAAAATTTAAAGAGTTGAGCATGGTGGCATGCACCTGTAGTCCCAGCTACCTGGGAGGCGGTGAAGGAAGAATCACTGGAACCTAGGAGTACAAGACCAGCCTGGGTGATACTTTTTTAAAAAATTGAAAGAGTGATTCCTGCAAGTGTTATGTTTTTTTTCTTTGATTCAAGGTGCACATTACAAGTCTTTCAAATTTGAAAACTTCAGTCATTGATTATAATGTTCGAGCTGAAATTTTGTCAATGGGAATGGGCATTGATAATTCAGAACATGTAGAAAAACTGAAAAAATTATACAAAGAAGCTAAAATGCCAGCTGTTGAAGAAAACCTAAGCCAGACCCCGTAAGTAGATTTCTGTCTCCCTTTTGGAAGAACTCTTTTGTAGAAATAACTCACAATTGTTAAGGACATTATTTATGAAAGTAGAATAGTTTAGTGAGTCTCCATGTGCCCATAACTCAGCTTTAATAATTAACAAGATTTTTGGAAACCTTGTTTTACCCATTCCCAAATGCACACGCTTGTTTTTGGTGCAGTATTGTAAAACAAATCTCAAATATGTAACTTTTTGTTGGCATATAGCACACCTACAGAAACATGAACATGTTGGAAGTGTATGGTTTGATGGGTTTTCTGAGCACGTCAATTAAACCAGCCTGAGATCAAGGCGTGACTCAGAGCCTCCTCCCTCCTCTCAAGAGGAGCCATTCTCCTGATGTGGAAAAAAAGCAGAGCTGAGTTTTCCCTGGTTTTGTGCTTTGAATGGAATCGTGTAGTATGTCTCTTTTGTGTCTTGCTTCTTTAACTCAGTATTGTTTGTGAAGTTCACCATACTGTGTATGTGGCTGTAGATCTAAATTCACATTGCTGCATAATGTTCCTTTGTATGAATAGGCCATATTTGTTTACCTATTCTATCGCTGACTGGAAAAATTTCTAGTTTAGGGCTACTCCCAGCAGTGGTGCTTTAAACATTCTGGTACATGTCTTTTTGGTGCACTTTTACATATATTTCTGGTGGAATGGAATGCTAAGCCGTAATTAGAGTTACTGCCCAACACTGTTCCAAGTGATTTTACGATGAAAGTTGCTCTGTGCAGAGAGATGGGCAACCCCCAGAGGGGGAGATGGGCACTGCATGTGTTTCATTCAAGAGCTGCTTCCGGTCAGAAAGTTGCAGACACCTACTAAGAAAGTGGGCAAAAGACTTGAGCAGCAACTTCACAATGTCCAGTTGATACATGAAAAGGTGTTCAAACTCATTAGTCATCAGGGAGATGCAAATTAAAAACACAATAAATGCTATTACTGCACACCCACCAGAAAGGGTGAAATGAGAAAAAGAAAAGTACATACCAAGTGTTGGTGTGGGTGTGAAGCAACAAGGCTTTTAAAAGCCTGACTAAAAAGCCTGACTAGAGTACCGTCACCATATCTTTAACAATTAACGGTAACTTTTTTTTTTTGAGTGAGAGCCTCACTCTGTTGCCCAGGCTAGAGTGCAGTGCCATCCATGCTCAAGGCCACTGCAGCCTCGACCTGCTGGACTCAGGTGATCCTTCTACTTCAACCTTCCAAATAGTTGGAATCACAGGCATGTGCTAGCATGCTGGACTGACTTTTTTATTTACTGTGGAAATGAGGTCTCACCATGTTGCCTAGGCTGGTCTCAAACCCATGGGCTCAGACAGTCCTCTTGCCTCTGCCTCCCAAAGTGCTGGGATTATAGGTGTGAGCCACCATGCCCGGCCAACAGTAACTTCTTAAATTGCATGTGTTTTCCTCTCTTATGGTAAAAGTACACATTACAAAATTTGCTATTTTAATTATTTTTAAGTGTATGATTTGATGGCATTTGGTACATTTACAGTGTTGTACAACCATCATCACTATCCATCTCCAGAACTTTTTTATCTTCCCAGAAACTCTGAACTCATTAGACAATAACTCTCAATTTACCCTCTCCCCAGCCCCCATTAATCCCTGTTCTACTCTGTCTTTATGAATTTGCCTATTCTGGATGCCTCATGTAAGTGAAATCACACAATATTTGTCCTTCTGTATCTGGCTTATTTCACTTAGCATAATGTTTTCAGAGTGCCTCCTCCCAGTAGCATGTGTCAGAATTGCATTCTTTTTTAAGACCGGAGAAATTCCATTGTGTGTGTAGGTCGCATCCATGCCTGCATTCATCTGTCCATGCACACTGGGTAGCTTGCATCTTGTTGGCTTGTTGGCAGATGATACAGTTGTGGATGTGGGTACACAGGTATCTGTTGGAGTCCCTGCTTTCATTGCTCTGGGGTACATTCTCAGAAGTGGAATTACTGGATCATATGGTAATTCTGTATTTAATTTTGGAGGAACCTCCATCCTGTTGTCTGCAATGGTTGCCCCATTTTGCAATCTTGTCAGCTATGCACGATGCTTCCCGCTTCTCCATATCCTTATCCTAGAAATCAGCCTGAGGTGAAGACTTGAGTCTTCTCAGAGTCTTTTCGGAGCTCTTCTGAACATGCATCTTACCTCTGCCTGCATGTAGCTTTCCAAGTTCACCTGTATATACGACTGCTTTTGAATTTTCTTATTTCTCCAAGAGTCTTACTCCACTTCTCCTCCAGGCCTCGATCCCTTGACATCTGTGGGTCTGTGGTGCCTTGCAGCTTTTAGGAGCAGTGCCTACTGCTTTTCCTGCCTGCTTTCCAGGCTCAGTCCTTTAGGTGTCTCCAGGTGACCCCAGACAGGTTCAAACAGATGCATGCAATAATTTGCACCTGAAGTCTTCTCTGCTTCCCCTAGGTGGAGGGGGACAGGAACCAGACTGCGGCCTTCTCGAGACCAAGACCACCACGCCAAGGAGGGGGTGGGGCCGGGGTGAGTGAAAATGCCACAGAACCTTCCTGCCAGCTGTAGCTGATGAGATTTCCAAGCACACTGGACCAGATGGTGGTATGTGAGGCGGGGCGAATTAAAGCAGGAAGGAAGCTGGGGGAAGACTGAGCAAAGACACCAGGCGAGGCATCCTTGCAGATGCCTGGGAGAGGCTCCCTGGGCAGAGGGAGGGCCTGGCTGCTGAGTCTGGAGAGCAGGGAGGAAGAAACTGTGGCGAGGGCAGCAAGAAGGGCCACCCACAGGGACAGAGGCCAGAGGAGGTCCAAGCTGCGTCTTGCTGGGACCAAGGCCATGGCCAGGAACGGGCTCCCCCGGAGTTGATAGGAGACGCGAGAGGGTTTGAGCAGAGCAGCGACTTAGACAAAAGGAGACCTTTGGCTGCTGTGTTAAGAATAGACTGGATGCCAGGTGCCATGGCTCACACCTGTAGTCCCAGCACATGGGGAGGCTGAGGTGAGAGGATTGCCTGAACCCACGGGTTTGAGACCAGCCTGGACAACTTGGTGAGACCTTATCTCTACAATAAATCAAAAATTAGCCAGGCGTCGAGGCGCGCACCTGTAGTTCTGGCTACTTGGAGGGCTGAGGCAGAAGGATCACCTGAGCCCAGCAGGTCGAGGCTGTAGTGGCCTTGAGTGTGCCATTGCACTCCAGCCTGGGCGACAGAGAGACTCAACATAAAAAAAAAAGTTGGTGGGGGGTGGGGGACAGAGATTGTGTTAGGAGTTTAGGACAGGAGGATGGTGGCTTGGACTGGGTGGCTCTGTGTGGGTGGTTAGAGGTCGCTGACTTCTGAATATATTTTGAAGCTGTAGCTGATGAGTTTTCCAAGCACAATGGATTTGTAGTGAGTGACTGTGTGAGCCTCATAGCAGAACCTTGGTATTTAAAGCAGGGAGACCTCCAGAAGGCCCAAAATGCTGAGTGGAAAGGTCAGAGGATGAGCTGGGACCTCCGTGGGGAGCACGAGAGGGGGGTGGGGACATGGGGAGGAGCCTTAGGAGCCTGAGAAGGCTTGGCCAGGAGGGTAGAAAGAAGCCTGGGAGCAGGTGTCCAGAATGGCAGGCGAGGGAAGCATTTCCCAGGCAGGGAGTGATAAGCCAGGCCCGGTGCTGCCCACAGGCCGAGTGAATGAGAACTGAGGACTGATCCTGATCCTGGCTCTAGTGACCCACTGGGTTTAGGGGGCTTGGTGACCCGCCTGGGCAACTTGGTGAGACCTCATCTCTACAATAAATCAAAAAATCAACCGGGCATGGTAGCGCATGCCTGTAATTCCGGCTACTTGGAAGGCTGAGGCAGAAGGATTGCCGGAGCCCAGCAGGTGAGCCTGCGATGGCCAGGAGCGGCCACTGCACTCCAGTCTGGGTGACAGAGTGAGACTCCAACTCAAAAAGATTCCTAAGTTGGGGGAATTAAAACAATATGGCAAAGATGAAAATAGTTTATAGTCTAAAGTTTTAAAATTGTTATCTTAATACAATTTGGTGCCTGTGGGATTAGGATACAAGTTGATTTCTACCCCCTTTCAAAAAACAAGAAAAATTTTCCCATACTTACAAGATCTTCTTTTGTTTGTTTTTTAATTTTTATGTTGGACTATAGAGGTACAAGTGCAGGACTGGTCCATGGATATGTTGTGTGCTGGTGAGGCTTGGGCCTTTGCTGAGCTGACCCACCAGGTGGAGCACGGTGCCCGATGGGTGGTTTCTCAGCCCCTACCTCTCCCCCTCCCTCCCTTTAGGAGTGCCCAGTGTCTGCTGTGTGCTTCATGCCTGTGTCTTTGCAGTGTTTAGCTCTCACTTGCAAGTGAGGACATGTGGTATTTGGTTTTCTGTTTCTGTGATAATTCACTTAGAATGATGGCCTCCCGCTATATCCAGGTTGCTGCAAAGGACATGATTTTGTTCTTTTATTACGGCTGTATTTCATGGTGTATATATACCACATTTTCCTTATCCAGCCCACCATTGATGGGTACCTAGCTTAGTTCTTTTTTCTTGCTACTGTGAGTAGTGCTGTGGTAAGCATACAAGTGCAGGTGTCTTTTTGGATTTATGGTCTTCGGGGTATATACCCAGTAGTGGGATTACTAGATCAAATGGAATATCTATTTCTCATTCTTTGCAAAATCTGCAGACTGCTTTCTACAGGGGCTGACCTTAGAATAAATTCCCACCAACAGTGTATGGGAGTTCCCTTTTCTCTGCAACCTTGCCAGCATCTGTTGGGTTTTGTTGTTTACTTTTTAATAATAGCCTTTCTGACTGGTGTGAGATGGTATCTTATGGCTGTTTTGATTTGCATTTCTGTGCTGATAGGTGATGCTGAATATTTTTTTCATGTTTGTTGGCTGCTTATATGTCTTTCTTTGAGAATATCTGTTCATTTTTTTTGTCCGCTTTTTAATAAGTTTTTTTTCCTGTTAGTTAATTTAAGTTCCTTACAGA